GAGAGAGAGAGAGAGAGAGAGAGAGAGAGAGAGAGAGAGAGTGTGAGAGTGAAGTTGTGTGGAGGAACATAAAGGCTAAATAACTAGACCACAGTCATAGTGTTAGTCAGGATTCAAACCTTAATTTGAATATAAAGGTCTGCTAGATTTTAACAAATGCATCAATGTGGTACATGATGTCAATAGTGATGAAGGTTGTATGTATTGGGACAGAGGTACGTAAGAACTCTTGTGAATGAAAAAAAATTTAATTTTTTTTTTCACATTGAAAAAAATGTACTTACTCTCTTTGATGAACTGGAAACAACTGGAGACCTCATTTCACAACTTAGTTTATGTGATCCACTATTTTTCCAGGATGACCCTGTACTGGAGGAAGTCTTTGAATGATATGAGATCTGAGAGAACAAAGGGACAGGCTTCTTACTGTCAAGTGTATTTTTATCAGAGACTGTTTGTTGAAAGTTACTGTTCAAAGGAGAAGAGCTCCCATCCCAGGCAGAAATATTAGGGCTGATCCCTTCAGATTCAGTGCTCTCATTTAGGCTAAGATCATCTTCTCTCATCTCTTCCCCAAGAGAAGGTTTTTCAGTGTCTTTGGATGAACAAGTCTTACTCTTATCAAGCACAGAATCACAAACTGTTGGATCAAATGGTGCAACAACAGTCACTTTTATATGATTCTTTTCTAATACAAGGTGCCTATGTAATGATTTAGCAGGAGTTGGTTCATGACCAACTGATGTATTTAGTTGAGGTAGTTTGAAGAGGCCAGGGGTCTCAGCTACTGGTCTCAAGCTGTACAATGAATTTTTTTCTTGGGGAGTTTCAAGTACAATTTGACTCCTTTTTTCTCCATTCTCATGCTCATTTGATGGCTCATCATCCTTCAAGAATTCTTCAATCTCTTCCTCATTTGATGAGCTATCATCTTTCAAAAGCTCCTCGATCTCTTCCTCAGTGAGACTGAAATGGCCGTCGTCTTCTTCTCCATCAGAGAACTCCAGCAAGGAGTCATCCAATTCATCCTCATCCAAGGAGCTCCAAGAAAATGGAGCACTGTTTTTAGGTAAGAAAGAGGCACCAGCAGACTGCTCAGAGGGTATCAGTGAACACATCATATCTAGAGAAAGAAGAGGAAGTTCCACAGACCAACAGAAAATAGTTTAAACCATTTTAACCCACTATATACAGGGATGGCATCTTAATATCTCAAATTCTTTGTCCTGTAATTTATGACATGAGAAAAACTAAAGATACTTAACTTTACCAGAATCATAGAAATACATTTTAAAACAATATTTTTTCTTATAAAAATGGTAAATATTAAGATGACATGAAATCTTCACCAGGTTGGTGAAGATGTGATAAGTACTCTTACACAGTATCAGTAAGCATATGAATCAGCACAATGTTTTGCAAAAAGTAATTTGGCAAAACCATTTGACCTACAAATTTCACTTCTAGAAATGCAGCCTACAGAAGGACCTATTAGAAATACACATGGACCTATTAGAAATATACATGGGCTGGGGGCTGGGGATTTAGCTCAGCGGCAAAAAGCGCCTGCCTGGCAAGCGCAAGGTCGTGAGTTCGGTTCCCGGTACCGGAGAAAAACCAAAAACCAAAAAAAAAAAAAAAAAAAAGAAATATACATGGGCTGGGCATGGTGGTGCATGCCTGTAATCCCAGCACTCGGGAGGCTCAGGCAGGAGGACTGCTGTGAGTTTGCGATAAGCCTGGACTACACAGCATGATCCTGTCGCAAAAACAAAAAAACAAAAAGAAATATACAAGGAAACTAAAGGCAACCTAGTAAATATCCATCACCAAAAGAAATGTTCAGTAAAATCATGGGATAGTCATGCTACAGAATGTAGGGGCTGGGGATTTAGCTCAGCGGCAAAGCGCCTGCCTGGCGAGCGCAAGGTCGTGAGTTCGGTTCCCGGTACCGGAAAAAGAACCAAAAAAAAAAAAAAAAAGAATGCTTTTCAACTATTTAAAAACCTAATGAAGTAGTTCAATCAAGGAATTGTATCTACAATGTACAAACAAAACAAGTATTATATAAAGTGTTTGGACATTTAGTTTACATTTAAAAAAATCATGTTACTACTCTTGAATTAAAAAAAAAAAAAAACAAGAATACAAATGTAAATAAATGTATTCCATACTTTGTGAAGCTGCTAGGGTGATCTCTGCCTTTGCCACGAGACCAAATGGAAAAAGGTTTCAGCTCTCGCTAGCTGTTCCTTTCAGGAGACTTGTCAAAATGATTGACTCCCACCTTCCTGCAGGCACAAAGAAAATTAAAGGATCTTCTCATCACTTTCAACTCTGCTAATTACAAAGTCAACTGTATTGTGCTTCAAGGTGCTCCATCTATTAATTTTAATCTTGATTTTTTTTAAATACCAGAAAGTTGGAATTTTTTGAGTCAAGAACACCAAAGAAAAACCTTTACAGGAAAAAAATTATGCAACTAAGGAACTTGTTTTGTTCTTCCCAACAAATTATACTTTCTTAAGACCATCATTTGCTTGAGTAGGATGAATACTGATTTGGGCATCCAAAGACTTTAAGACTACACTCCTGTTCTGTCACTAACCAGCGCTAACCACCAGCCTCTTAAATCATTTGGATTATAAAATGGGAAAAAGTAGAGCAGGGAGACTGGGCAGCATTTTTTGGGGGGACCAGGTCTCACTATGTATTTAGTTCAGGCTGGCCTTTAACTCACACTGATTGTTCTACCCCAGGCTACCTAGTGCTAGGATTACAGGTGTGTACCACCAAATGCAGCCTGAGCAATGTTTAAAATTCCACAAAATCTAAAAATTCATCATTACCACACACAAAAATCTAACTTTCAATATATATAAAATGCAAAGAGCCAGGTGTGGTAGCACACACCTGTAATCCCAGCACTTGGGGGGCTGAAGCAGAATTGCCATGAGTTCAAAGCCAGCTTGGACTACAAAGTAAGTTCAAGGCCTGGCTGAACTACATAGCAAGCCTCTGCCTTAAAAAAAGAAAAGAAAACCAAAAGCAAAGAGCCAGGCATACCGGCTCACATCTGTAATCCCAGTACTTGGGAGGTTGAGGCAAGAGGATCGCTGCTAGTTCGGTATCAGCCTGGGATACAGAGTGAAGTTAAGGCCCACCTGAACTACACAGTGAGACCTTGTCTCAACAAAAAAACAAACAAAAACAAAACAGAAAAAAAAAGAAAGGGTCTGTAAAGATACAAACACAGAACTAATGACTACTATAACCTATAAGGAGACAGAAGTCCAGGGAAGATTTTCATTAGCATTTTACTTCTTGCTTGACTCTTTACTTGCATGACTAAAATATAGTTTTTAAACAACTAATAACAGACCTAATGTATAATTATTTTCCAGATGGGAAAGGTGATAAAAAGGGAATATTTCACATACACATTACATCTAAGAAGCTATTAAAAAATACCAAAACAATGAATTCAATAATTGGACAATTCTTTTTTTTTTTTTTCTGGTACCAGGAATCAAACTCATGACCTCACGTTTGCCAGGCAGGCGCTGTGCTGCTGAGCTAAATCCCCAGCCCCTTTTTCCTTGTGTCTTTTTTTTGAGACATGTAGTCCAGGCTAGTCTCAACCTCATGATCCTCCTACTTCAGTTTCCTGAGTGCTAGGTTTACAAATTTGCACCACCACACCTGGCTCTTACTGTAAAATTTAACTGTAAAATTTCCTCCACGTACTTATTATCCACATCTTGTTTCTTCAATGCATGTATTCTTTCAAAATATACTTTCTGTGCTACAATCACCGTACAGCACTGAGCTACATAAAATATCTCTATATGATTTCTTGTCTTTTTTGAGACAAGGTCTCGCTGTGCAGTTCAGGCTGTCCTTGAGCTCACTTTTGTAGCCCAGGCTAGTCTTGAACTTACAACAATCCTCCTGCCTCAGCCTTCCGAATGCTGGGATTACAGGCATGCACCACCATGCACGGCTGTATGATTTCTAAGAAATAAAGATACGGTTCTGCAGGGTGTTGTGAAATAGCCTGTAATCCCAATTATTCCAAAATTGAGGTAGGAGGATTGTAAATTCTAGACTAGCCTGGGCACCTCAATGTGACCTTTTCACAAAATAAAATTTTAAAAAGGCTGGGGATGTACCTCAGTGGGAGAGCCCTTCTTTACTATGTGTGAGTCCCTGGGTTCAATCCCCGGTATGGCAACAAAAAATAATAATTAATTAATTAATTACAAAAAAGAAAAATAAAAGGAAGTTAGCCACGTGTGATGGCACATGTCTGTAACCCTAGCACTTGGGAGTCTGATGCAGGATTGCCAAGAACTCACTCTGCACAGTAAGTTCAAGGCCAGCCTGAACTACAAAGTGAGAACCTGTCTCAAAAACAAAAATAAGAGCAAGGGAGGAAGGTGAAGGGAGACACCACTACGAGACAACATAAAGTGGTACGGACAATAAAGTAGTAAAAAGAGTAGAAAAAAGAAAGCGGGGAGATACAGGGTTTCAGAATTAGAAGGGACCTAGTTAAATTTACTGAGCTTAGAAATGTGGTAGGACAGAAATGAAAAAAAAAAATATTTTATACCTATTATAAACCAGACAGTATGAGATAGATTTTATAATTGTAACCTCTCAGCACAACTCTAAAATTAATCTTACCAAAGAAATCAAGTTTTCCCTTATATTTAAATCAGAACCACTGATACTTATTTTATCAATATCCTAGCAATTGGGCATAGGGGTATAGCTCCGTGGCTTAGCAAGCATTGGTAGGGATGAGGGTCTGGGTTCAATCCTTGCCCCTTCCCCCAAAAAGGTCCAACAATTATTATGAGAGTTCCAGGCATTGGTACAGGTGCCTCCATGAAGAAAGAGTTAATTTCTCAGCTTAGGGACTGAGTTATTTCACAGAATAAAGTTATTTTTTTAGGCATCAATAAGAAAAAAGGTTTACTTTTGGAGATTTTTTTTTTTAACTTATAAAACCTTTTGTTTGTCAAGTACAAATATCACAGGTACTGGGGTTAGCAGCTATATTTCTTAGAAGTACTTTCTGGTATACTGCCTCCTCATCCCAACACGTCTAAAAGGTCTAGTCCAAATACTTGCTTGGCCAACTACAATACTCAATTTTCTCTACTGGGAAAATGAAAATTCAGAGGTATTACATAATTTGCTAATAACATTAGCCTGAGGACCCAAACCAAGGTCTAATTAGTTGGGTTTTTTTTTTGAGTCAGGGTCTCACTATGCAGTTCAGGCTGGCCTTGAGCTCACTTTTGTAGTTCACTCACAACGACCCTCCTGCCTCAGCCACCTGAGTGCTGGGATTACAGGCGTGAGCCAAAAAGCCCAGCTCCAAGGTCTAATTAGAAGGCCAACTTTTTCTATCACTATTGAGATAGATTTGCCCAGCATTGGTCAGCAAATGGCAGAGCTATAATCCAAACTTAGGCCTTCTAAATTCGGTACACTTTAGTAAACCATAAAATATACAGGTACTAAAAAGGGCTTTTGGGTCTTGGAAAAAAATAACTTGAAGTGCCTTATTATGTATGGAAGGCTGCCCTTGGTCTCCCAGATGAAATAGAAGAACACTATGAATACTCCTGAATGTGATGAAACATTACCAAAAGAAAAACATTATAGTACTTGCAAACTTTACTTGCACACATAGGACCAATATCCTTTACAACCACTGCAATCATCAATCCTTATGCCACGTAACATCTAAAGGCAGAGCAGGTTCTTCTGAGCTTCTCCCTAAGAAAGTTCCAAACAGAAAATTTATACAAAACAATGCCCTATATATACATGTACATTCTACATATACACAAATCATTCTTTCCTCATTTTCAAAAATTCTGGAGGGAGCCAGGTGTGGTGACACCTGTAATCCCAGCACTCAGGAGGCTGAGGCAGGAAATAGCCATGAGTTCAAGGCCACCATGGGATACATAGTGAGTTCAAGGCCAGCTTGAACTACACAGGGGGATCATATCTCAAAAACAAAAGTTCTGGAGGGCAATGGGAAGTAAAAAGAATTAAGATGTGTTATGTACATGTATCAGTTCCACATGATAAATGTAATCATTATGTATAGCAAACACATACTAATTAAAGAAAAAAAAGAAATACAGACTTTAAAATTTATTACAGAGAATTTAAAACATATGCAAGCCTGGTGTAATGGCACATGCTTATAAGCTCAGCACTCTGGGAGACTGAAGCAGGAGGATCCCAAGTATGAACATAGCCTGGGAAATTTAACACCACCATGTCTCAAAAAATAATATATAATGGCTGAGGATATAGCTCAGTGCAAAGGCTGTAGATTTAATCCCCGATACTGCCAAAAAAAGTCTTAATTTTAAAAGCATACATAACAGTAACATAATGAAACACCACATACTCATCACTCAGCCCTAACCCTACCAACCACAGCTGATCTTTCCCTCTTTATCAGATTATTCTGAAGCAAACCACAGGCACTGCATCATTTTATCTGTAAACAAGAAGTCCTCATCATAAAATATCCAGTTCAAATTCCAATTATCTTAGTCATACTTTTTCAAGCTTCAAAAAAAGTCCACACAATGCAAATGGCTGGTATATCTTTTGAAGTTTGTTTTATTTAGTTTTGGTTTTTTTGGGAGAGGGTCTATGTAGTTCAGGCTGGCTTTGAACTCACTGTGTGGCCCAGAATGGCCTCAAATTCATGGCAATCCTCCAACCTCAGCCTCTTGAATCTTTTGAGTATTTTGATTTATAAATTTACCCTTTTTCCTGCTTCAATTTGTTAAAGAAACAACACCATCTACATATGTATGCTATATCATAAAATTATAAAATCATGTCTGAGAATGAGGAACACCAAATTCAGGGCAGTGGTTATCTTCAGTAGTGCGGAGAGAAGAGGAAGAACAGGAGGCATGGGTAGCTTCAATTCTGCCTCTAATTTTTGTTTTGTTTTGATTTGTTTTCATGGTACAAAGGACCAGACCAAGGGCCTTCACACTGAGCAACATCCCCAGCCTTTTTTTTTTTCCTAGAACAGGATCTCACTAAGTCACCAGGTTGCCTGGCTGGGCTCAAACTTGTGATTCTATTTCAGCTTCCTGTATACAGTGGTGGGATTACAACTGTGCATCAAGATGCCCACCTTGTTTGGCTTCTTTTTGGGGGATCAGTAAATGGGGATTGAACCTAGGGGGCACTGAGCTTCATCTCCTCTTTTTAAATTTTATTCTGAGACTGGGCTTGCTAAATTGCCCCGGTTGTCTTGCAACTTGTGATCCTCCTGCCTCTGCCTTCCAAGTACCTGAGATTACAGCTGTGCACCACCGTGCCTGGATATGTCTTCTTAAAAAAGGCCAGGTGGGCATGGCTGTAACCCCAGCTCTAAGGAGGCTGAGGAAGGAAAACTGCTTCAAGTTTGAGGGCAGCATGGGCTACACAGTAAGCTCAAGGCAAGCCTGCACTACAAAGCCAGACCTTGTCTCAAAAAAAAAAGAACGATAAGGCTGGGGTTATAGTTTCAGTGAGAGAGTGCTTGCCTGGCTTCTAAGAGTCCTTGGTCAGAAACAAATACAGCAACATAAGATAAAGATGGGCTTAAAGGTATTCATTATTATTTTACTTTTTTTTTTTTTGGTACTGGGAATTGAACTCAGGACCTCGCACTTGCCAGGAAGGTGCTGTGCCACTGAGCTATATCCCTGCCCCCCTCCTTTTTTGAGACAGGTCTCACTATGTAGTTCAGCCCTTAAACTCGTGGCAATCCTCCTGCCTCAGCTTCCCAAGTGCCAGGATTACAGGCGTGCACCACCATGCCTGGGTTACTTCCTATTTTTATGTGCTTAAGATACTTAAGCACAGGAATGGAAGGGAAAAAAGAGTGCTAAAGTGGTAGGGAACATAGACCAGTGATGGCAAGTCTTTTAGAGATGAGTGGCCAAACTGCAATCCAAAACCCACTTATTTGTCGCCAAGTGCCAACGATGCAATTAAACCCAAATAGAGGTTTTTAGTTTAGAAAAAATAACTCATACATGAACATATTTTGTCTTAAAAGAAAAATAACACGATACCATAGGTTCACCTCCACTCTGCCTAGACCCTGCACATTTAGAAATTACCCAGTATGCTCTGTTTAAGCCAACATTCAAGGAGGTAGTCACTTAACCCAGCATCCCACCATACTGTCTCTAATTAAAGACCAGACTGGATGGACATGAAATATCAGGCAAATTCTGCAAGTTAATGGTATTGAAGTATCCGTATAAAAGCAATGGACTAAATTCCAGAGGCCTCGGCAACTCAAGTCTTTGAACCACAATGCAGATGAGAATACTCATCTGAAAAAAGGGGGGGGGGGTAAATGCTGCTAACTGGATCAAATAAGGATCCACCGAGGGGATTATTTATGAAAGCACTCTAAACCTAAAAACCCTATGCCAATGAAAACTGATACTACATGACTTGCAAAGGAGGAAACCCCTCAGATAAAATTGAAGCTCTGAAGTGAAGTTCCCCAAGGCAGTTTTAGTTTACTTCTCTGCTATTATATCACCACCTGCTTTTCTTGACACTAGCCTGGTAGACGCTACTTAAAATACGGGGACCCCTTTATTTTTAAGGGAAGAGTATTTTTTCCCATTGCCCAATTCTATCATAATTCTTCTCCCCATCCCTGTGTGACCCTATTCTGTCCTTCCACATCTCTCACCTGTCCACCCCCTTCTTCACACTTCAATGTACCACCCCCTCTCTGTTCCTCCTGGTTGCAACCTCAGAAACTGGTTCTCTATTTTTACCTTACCTCAGAAAACCTATTGCCTTAGAGCACAAAGGCTTTTTATTCAGGCCACTGAAACTGCAACACCACATCCTCTTTCAAGGTTCTAAAACCAAAACTATTACCTTGCTAGCTAGGTCTGTTAGCCACAACAGCAAGGATTATTCTCAAAGGACAGGATTTCTCATTTGCCTTTGATTTTCAACTTCTCCCAAGTGCAAATATATGTTCAAATGGCTTTGTTATCACTCATAAAATAGGCCCAACATTAAAAAAAAAAAAAAAATCAAAGCGAACCGAAACGATTTGTAAGAATTTTAGCCGGGCGTGGTGCCGCACGCCTGTGATTCCAGCACTCGAGAGGCTGAGACAGGAGGATCGCCAAGTTCAAGGATAGCCTGACCTACATAACGAGACCCTGTCTCAAAAACAAAACAAAACAAAAAGAATTTCGCAATTCCCTTTGACATAGCTGAAAACACTAGGAGGGAAACCACCCAGGACTGGAAATTTCAGCTTTAGGTTAACATGTCATTACATCAGGGTACAGGAAGTCCCCTCCCACACGGGCAAAGACAGCACATACCACTAAGCTGTGGCAACAGGTTTCTTTTTTAAAGGATGTTTTGGGGGGTTTTGTTTTAAATTTTTAGACGGGTATAATAAAGCTTGGAGCGCCTACAACAGAAACAAACTGGAGGTCAGGTTAGGGCAGCCGGTGGGCAGCTACATCACTTCTGGGGCCTCCTCAGAGCTCCCGCTGGGGTGCCAGCTGCCTCCCCTCCACCGCCTCGACGACCCGGAGGAAGGGTGGCCCGGGTGCTCGCCGAGGATACCGCTCAGCCTTCCCTTCCCGCCTCCAGAACAGTGACGGCCGCGAGGCGGCGCCGCCCTCGGGCAGGGCCTTTGCACTTCCCCGGGGCGAAGGAAAGGGATTCCCGCCTCCCCACGGAAGGTGGGAGAGGCGCGGGCTCCTTCCCGCCCCTCCCCCCGGAGCGCCCCCGGCCTCGCCGACCCGGAGGGGCGCAGTCGCCGCTCCCTCGCCGCCGGCCCGCGACCCGCTTCTCGCTGCACGCCCTCCCGCCGGCGGGCTGGGGGCAGCGACATCTCCCGCCCCCTTACCCCCGCTGGGCCGAGACGGCGGAGGGCGCTCCCGGCCTCGCAAGGACCAGCCTCCCTTTTCCTTTTCCTTTCCTTCTCCTCAGCAGGGTGAGGGGCATCGCTGGACCGCCGACGTGGAGGAGGGGGGCAGGGACACTCCCCCCGCCACCACCGCAGGGGCGCGAACCGGCCCTTCTCCCACCAGAGCGAGGGCCTCCCTGTCCCTCAACGGGGCGTACGGGGCGCGCAACCCCCTGCAGAAGCAACAGGCGCCCCCAACCCCCGCCCAGCCGACGAACGCCGACCGGGTGTCCCTCCCGCTCTTCACCTCCGGAAGCCGGGCCAAAACCTGGGCGAACGACTGCGCCTCACTCCGCCCCCTGCGCCATTTTATCGCCCCCTCCCCGACCTCCCCCTCCCCGAGGCAGCCGGGCCAACGCCAGGGGGCGGGCGGAGAGGCAATGATTGGCAAGAATTCGCCCCGCCCCTAAGAGAAATACGCCCCACGCAGATGCCGCAACCCCGCCTTCCTCACCGCCTACTCTACCTGCTAGCTCCGCCCCTTCCCGTTTCATCGACCCGCTCGACTCTCCGTTGCTCCTGACTCTCTCCTAGCTACTGCTAGGCAAAGGGTCTAGGCCGAGTAAGACGAGTGACGAGCTTAGCTGATGCAACCTGACGGGACTCGCGTGACAGTTCCCGGCACGCGGCGGCGGCGGCGGCGACAGAGAAAGGGGCGCGGGTGCCGGTCGAGTGCGGGAAGTAGGGGTGACGGAGACATGGGGGATGCTCCTAGCCCGGAAGAAAAACTACAACTTATCACCCGGAACTTGCAGGTTGGGCCTCGGGGTTGGAATGTGCGGTTGGGAATTGGGAGCCGTGTGTCCAGCGGTCCTACCTGGTTCTGAGCCTGTGGGCCAGGGAATCCGCGCCGGGGCAATTCCGAAGAGACTGTAGTTCTCGCTACTGTTCGGTCAGTCGGTCGGTCAAGCAACCTTTCCCTCGGAGCCACGGAAATCACAGCCGGCTCACCCCTCGTGTGCAGTTACCTTGTGTCGGAGCCAGTCTTTGAATCCAGAATCCTCACCTTATTTATGTGCCAGGCGCGGTGCTAGGTGCCGGGGATGGGTCAGGGCCTGCCCTCCCAGAGCTGATCTGGAGATGATCGAGGTTAAAAATGACCTGTAGCCCAAACCATTTCAGTTGAAGTTGAGTACTGGAAGTTACTGTACGTGAAAGGAAAAAAGATGGGAAGGGTCCCCCTGAGGAAGTACCCTGTAAGGACGCTTCCTGCACCCTGAAGGATAGGGATCAGCTCTTCACTCTACAAATCTTCCGAACTGCAGGAGTTGGAGTTAACCAGAAAAAAATGGGAACATGGTGTGCAGGGCGGGGGTTTCAGATCGAAGAATATTGTATTTTGTTAAGATCCAGAGGGGAGAAAGAAAATTATGGTTCAGAGAATTGGCTAGTTTGGCTGGAATAAGCAAACTGCTGATAAAACACTTAATATTTGGCTTACTTTGTTTATTTGTGGTACCAGGAATCGAACTCACGACCTCATACTTGCCCGGCAGGCGCTGTGTCGCTGAGCTATATTCGTGGCAACACTTAATATTTGTGTTGTTCATTCTTTTGCCTTCCTTCAGGCCTCCGACTTGTCACGTTTTGAGCATTTAAATTTAAATAACAAAAGAAGTAAGCAAAGACCAGGTCCTGAGGGCTTTTATATGCTTTATTCCAAGTTAGCCCGATTTAAAACTAGTCCTGTAGGCCGGGCGTGGTGGCGCACGCCTATAATCCCAGCACTCGGGAGGCTGAGGCAGGAGAATCGTTGCGAGTTCGAGACCAGCCTGGGCTACAAAGTGAGCTTAAGGCCAACCTGAACTGCATAGCGAGACCCTGTCTCAAAAAGACCAAAAAATAAATAAAAAATAAAAAATAAAATAAAACTAGGCCTGTAATCTCAACACTGTGGGAGGCTGAGGCTGGAGGATTGCAAATTTAAGTCCAAGCTACCAACTCAACGATTTAGGGAGATCCTATCTCAAAATAATAAGTAAAGGGATGGGGATGTTGCTCAGAGCAAAGACCCTGGATTCAACCCTCAGTACCAGAATTTTTTTTTAAATCACTGTTTTACATTGTACAATTCAGTATGCACACAATTGTGCATCCACAACCACCTTCCAATTCCAGAATATTTTCATTCCCCACCAAAAGCTCGTAGCATTAGCCGTCAATACCCATTACCTCTACTGCCAGCCCTAAGAAAACACTAATATAGTTTCTGTCCCTATGTATGTATTTCTCTCTTCTGGGCATTTCATATAACTGGGATCATCAAAATGTGCTCTTTTGTGTCTGGCTCTTTCAGTTAGCATGTTTTTTTCAAGGTTTGTCCACGCTGTTGTACGTGTCAGAACTTACTTCTTCATATGGCTGAGTAATGTTCCAGTGTATGGATATACCATAGTGTGTTTATCTATTCATCAGTTAGTAGACATTTAGGTTACTCCAGTCTCATCTTCATTATTTTTTTCTTGGTGTAGGGATTGAAGCAGCACTAGGCAAGCGTTCTACCACTAAGCTGCATTCCAGCCCCTATTACTTCTTACTTGTAGACAGGGTCTTGTTGCTAAGCTGGTCAACATGAGATTTTTTACTTGCTTCATCTTGGCCAGATTCTTTGTTTCCTAGCCTCTCTCCATAAAATAGTGCTTGCTGAGGACATACTATGCACAAAGGGTATGGAACTGACTTTTAGAGGCTAAGTGATTCGGACTTCCCTTGAGTGATGAGAACCCCCTAAGTGTCTGGAGAATGCAAAATCAGTCACCAACACACTTGGAGCACAGAATTTGGAGTCCTGCTAATTAGACAACAGAAACAGTTGTTGCTTGTCATAGTTTTATGGGGGGAGGGGTTGAAAGAGGGTCCCACTGTGTAATTCAGGCTGGCCTGGAACTCACTATGTAGCCCAGGCCGCCTTACACTCTACAAACATCCTGTCTCTACTTCCTGAGTGCTGGGATTAGAGGCCTGTGCCACCACTCCTGGATGCCATGTTTTTTTTACAAATCATCACTTTTTCAAAATTATCACTTGAAAAAAATACTTTTTTCTTAGCTTTTACTAATTTAAATAACAAAAGAGAGGTAAGCAGAGACCAAGCCATGAGGGCCTACCTTTATAGGCTTCATTCCGTAAGCCCAAATTTTTTCTTTTCTTTTTTTTTTTTTTTAAATTAGTACTGGGAATCGAACTCATGACCTCAGGCTTGCCAGGCAAGCCCTTATGCCACTGAGCTATATCTCCGGCCCGATGAGCCCAATTTAAAACTGGGTTTAGCCAGGCCTGGTGAAAATACTTTTATCAGGAGCATACTGGCCTATTAGGTAATACCAACATTGTCTCTAGTGAAAAGGAAATTAGTTTTAAACCAAGCCCAACTTAATGGTATATACTGTAATTCCAGCTACTCCAGAAGCTGAGGCAAAAAATCACTCAAGGCAGGAGTTTGAGGCAGCACACTAGATAGAGGTAGCTGGGCAACAAAGCCAGACTTGTCTCAAAAAACAAAGCAGGAAGATTTTAAACAAGTAAATAAGTAAACCTGATTTTGAGTTTTAAAGAATTTCCCTTGGGCTATCTTTTGGAACATGGATTGGAAGGAGCAAGAAAAGATATGACAGATTTATTAGGAGATTATTTCAATAACTTAATGTGTTTTCATAGTGACCTGGATTAGGGTGGTCATACAGAGATAGAGAAACGGAGGAGGATTTCAGAGCGGTTTTGGAGTGACTAAAGCAATTTGCTGAATACCATTTACTGACCTAGTAGTGAAATTATAAATGAAAAAGATGATTGGGTCATGAAGTAGGCAGGTGAGAGCATAAGCTTAATTTTGAATGTGTTGGGTTTGTTTTATTGTTTGTTTTTTGAGACAGGGCCTTGCTGTATAGTTTAGACTGGCCTCACACTCATGGCAATCCTCCTGCCTCAGCCTCCCAATGTGTTAGGTTTGAAGTATTAGGTTGATAATAGGTACATGATTCTATATATGGGTATGAGTAAGAGATTTGGGAGTTAGTAGCTCATGAGTAATAATTAAAGCAAACAATAAATAGGGAGAGTGTTGAATAAGAAAAGCCTAGAGCCCCAAAGTTTGCTACTATTTAATGATGAGGAAGAAGTGGAGCAACACCAGTGAAACCTAAGCTGTCAGAGAAGAGGGAAACTTAGAGTAAAATAAGGAAACCAAAAGAGTTTCAGGAAGGAAATGGTGACTAGAAAGTATTCATTTAAGGGCTTTGGATGTATCTCAGTGGCAGAGCACTTACTCAGCATGCACAAAGCCTGGATTCAGTCTCTAGCCCCCCCCCCCACACACACACAGAGTATTCATTCAAATTAGCAACTTGGAGTTCCTGTGATCTTCGCAAGAGGAAGGATTATGATATGGCACTTACAGGGAATGGGAAATGAAGGAGTGGAGACCACAAGGGATGGCTACCTCAGAAGGTAGGCGATGAAAGGAAGGAAAGCGGGTTAGATATAACTAGAGGCTAGGATTCCAGTAGGGACAGGCCTCTGCCTCCTTCCACCTGTGTCACGTCACCGGAGGGGCGCCAGCAGTAGCGTCCGCATGGGTTGGCATTGAGCGCTAAGAACATGGCCCTCCCTGCTGGCTCTGAGCCTGGACCCCTCTGACACAGAGCTTTGTTTTCTTTGTCATAGGATATAAGGATGTGGGGTAGGGGGGTCACCATCATTAAAGCACTTCTTCTGCTTCCACAACAGGAGGTTCTGGGGGAAGAGAAACTAAAGGAGATACTAAAGGAGCGGGAACTTAAAATTTACTGGGGAACGGCAACCACAGGCAGGCCACATGTGGCTTACTTCGTGCCCATGTCCAAGATTGCTGACTTCTTGAAGGCTGGATGTGAGGTAAGACCTCATGGTATCAACCTAGCAGTTGCCCTTGAAGAAAGGTATAAAGAGAACCTTGACAAGGGTGGGGCAGGGGTGGGAGAAGAGGGGTGGTTTAGTGGTACTAGAACAAATTGACATTTTGGTGGTCCCTTGTCCCTTACATCTAGGTAACCATTCTATTTGCGGACCTTCATGCATACCTGGATAACATGAAAGCCCCATGGGAACTTCTAGAACTCAGAACCAGTTTCTATGAGAACGTAATCAAAGCAATGCTGGAGAGCATTGGCGTGCCCTTGGAGAAGCTCAAGTTCGTCAAAGGCACTGATTACCAGCTCAGCAAGTAGGTGCTTGATCTTCCACCACCCTTCTCCTGAATCT